AAGGAGCCAGGGAGGGAGGAGGGGAGGGAGAGGGAGAGGGAGATGGAGATATTTCTAACATCAGTTCCCTTTTAGTGTATATATTTGTAAACTTCTAAAAGAATGTGGTCATTTAGGGGCATAAACATGGCCACATAATAACTAATTCATGAATATACAAATATTTCCCCAAACAATCCAAAAATAGGTAAGAAAAAAGTAGTGGGTGCTCCAGGGACTTATGTAACCTCTTAGAAAAGATGGAAAACTTTTCCATACAAAGTTAACTGTCACATGAAATTACCTTAATAGGGAAAAGTCAAACCCAACTGTAACAACGCTACAAGATGACACTGGCAAAAACTATCACTCGGAGATTTCCCCCACCCAGATTCCTAGATCTTTGTGTATCACAGGCTAATTTGAATGGGATTTATTTGTAATCATCTTATCTTTCCTGCTAGATTTTAAGCACTTGAATGTAAGAATCAAGTCTCTGAATCCCCAGAAAGTTTAGTACATTGTAGGAATTTAATCAACTTCGTTCAAATCATCAACTATCTGTGATATCAATGGAAGGCTATCAGGATGCATGATACGTCATTCCCAAAGAATTTACTGAAAATCGAAGGAAAATGCAGAATCATCATAGTCACACTGGTAAGAGAAAATGCTTTCTTAGAGATAAATCAGTAGTAGCCAAGAATACTCCCTCCACTTTTAAAAGAAGTTAGACATTAGAAGAAAATGGATTATTACATAAAGCGATTGTTATATAAAGAGGTTACTGGTGCCAATAGGTGTTCTTGAAAAATTTCCCATTCTGCAAATTTGTTTGCTAAAAATAACAAGACTTATGGGGAAAAACAGGGTTGGGAATACTGTTCAACATCTGCAAACTTTGCCTTTATTTTTTTTAAGATTGATTTATTCGAAAGCCAGAGTGATGGAGATGGAGTGAGTGAGTGTGTGTGTGTGTGTGTGTGTGTGAGAGAGAGAGAGAGAGAGAGAGAGAGAGAGACAGAGAGAATCTTCCATCTGCTGGTTCAGTCCCCAACTGGTCACAACAGCTGAGATTGGGTTTCCTCTCAATCTCTCTCAATCAATCAACCTCTCTCTCTCTCTCTCTCTCTCTCTGCCTTTCAAATAAATAAAACTCACTTGGGAATTGAACCACTGGAAGGGAGCTCTGTCTGTCTCACTCTTCTTCCACCTTATTGTCTCACAAGTAAATAAATCAAAAATTTTCCAAAATTCAAGTATTAATCTGTTGATTTTTATTGATCTCTTATTTTAATACAGGTGGAAATATCTTGGTAGGTTCTTTTGCACAACCAGTATCGCTGGCACAACTGGTCAGAAAGATACTTCTGGGGCCGGCGCCATGTCTCACTAGGTTAATCCTCCCATATGGGTGCCGGGTTCTAGTCCTGGTTGCTCCTCTTCCAGTCCAGCTCTCTGCTGTGGCCCAGGAGGGCAGTGGAGGATGGCCCAGGTGCTTGGGCCCCTGCACGCACATGGGAGACCAGGAGGAAGCACCTGGCTCCAGGCTTCGGATCGGCACAGCGCTGGCCGTGGTGGCCATTTGGAGAGTGAACCAACAGAAGGAAGACCTTTCTCTCTGTCTCTCTCTCACTGTCTAACTCTACCTGTCGTCAGGTGCCGCAGTTCACTAGGCTAATCCTCCGCCTGCGGCGCTGGCACCCTGGGTTCTAGTTCTGGTTGGGGTGCCGGATTCTGTCCCAGTTGCTCCTCTTCCAGTCCAGTCCAGCCCCCTGCTGTGGCCCAGGAAGGCCGTGGAGGATGGCCCAGGTGCTTGGGCCCTGCACCTGCATGGGAGACCGGGAGGAGGCACCTGGTTCCTGGCTTCAGATCAGCGAAGCGCGCCAGCTGCAGCACGCTGGCCGTAGTGACCATTTTGGGGATGAACCAACGGAAAGGAAGACCTTTCTCTCTGTCTCTCTCTCTCTCACTGTCTAACTCTGCCTGTCAAAAATAAATAAATAAATAAAAATATAACTCTACCTGTCAAATAAAAAAATAAAGAAACTTTTGTAGATTTTCCATTTTTCCCTACTGATTACATATTTTGCTGAACTTGACCTTTAATTGTGAGAAAGTTTGACTTTATTACAAAACATCTAATGTGCTAGGAAAAATCATGCTGGAACCAACATAATTTCTAGGTTACAATAATATCATTCCTTTTAATTAATTAATTTTCAGCTACTTGAAAGGCAGAGAGGAAGATTGATTGATTGATTCCATATGCTGGTTCACTCCCCGAATACCCACAACACACAACACCCATGCCTGGGCCAGGCTGAAGCCATAAGCCCAGAACTCCATCTTGGTCTCAAGGGCCCAAGCACTCTGCTGTCCTCAGGATGCATTATCAGGGAGCTAGACTGGAAGTGGAGGAGCCAGGACTCAAACAAGGTACTCTGATGTGGGACGTGGGCGTCCCAGGTGGCAGCTTACCTTGCTGTGCAACAATGCCCACCCCTCATGTCATTTCTAAATTCATCTGAGGTAAATATGTCAAAGAAATTAAGTGGCTAGCCCAAGCATTGGCATATGTAACCTGAGGCATATATTTTAGTAGGAGTAGTGGCAATTGCGTAGTAATGATGACAGTAAGCAACATTTATCGACCCTTACTATTTTCCAGGCACAACGGTAAACACATTATATGGATTATCTCATTCATTCTTCACACAGGCTCTAGGAAGTAGATGGCAAATAAGTAGATGAAGTACTTATTTTCCCCTAAGTTTACAAAGCTAGTAAGTGGTGAAGGCAGGATTTGAACCTGGAATGTTCTTACTCGATAGCCTCAGCGATCACTAACCACAGTGGAACAATATTTCTCATTCAATGAGTATGAAATGATTCCTATAAAGGCCACAGATGATAGAATCCAAAGCACTTTATCCAACTGGTCCACATAAAAATTAAAGTTGACATGATATATGTGACTAGAAAAATGTCTAAGTATTGTAGAATACTTCTTATTTTTCCATCCTTAAGCTTTCTGGCTAGGGTATGAGGGAAATCACTGGACGTGGCCAAAGGAGAGTTCCAGAATCGAGACACCTCCTTTTCAGCTCTTTCCAGCTGGGTCAGAGGTTTGCTGCGATGACTCAGGCCACGCCAAGGGCCCTGGCATGGACACACAGGCGTGTTCTAAATCCCACACGGCACATCTGACCGGGAGATTCATGCCCAGCTACGGCCAAGATGTTAAGCATGGATGGAATTTTTATTTTTCAATTCATTTCATTTAAATTCAACTTAGCAACGATGTATTGAGTACTTACTCTAAACCTGGATTATATCAAGTGCTATGGCAATAAAAGTGAATAATCCATTAAGGCTTGGGGCATGGTGGGCATTTCAGTGGGCATACTCACGCCAGGTGCTCGTCTTAGTACTTTACACATATGAACTCATTTAGTTCCCACAACCCAGTGATATACGGACTAATGTTCCCCTAGTCATACTGATGAGGAAACCGAGCTGCAGAGCGCTCTAGAAACGTGCCTAAGGTCACATGGGTGATGACCTTTTGCAAGTGGCAAAAACCAGGATTTGAACCTTGGCTTCTTGAATCTAGAACCTGCACGCTTGACCTCTCCCTAAACGCCCTTGCCCATGGAAGGAGACAGAGGAATTAAAAGAATTTTAATGTGGGGCAATAAGGAAAAAAGACACAGTAGAAATAAGCGGAGGACAGGGCAATTAACTCTGCTTGAGGTAGGGGGGAGGCTGGTGTTCTGGGAGGAGTGCCAGTGTGGCACAGCCTTCACAGCAGATGTCCGACGGCCAGCAGACCCAGCAGAGGAAGCAGAATGGGCAAGGGCGTGGAGGTGGGAAGTGGCCTGGCACGCGCACAGTTTACAACTGTTGAAATACAGGGGAAGGGAGGCGGGAGGTGATGGCAGAACAGAAGAAACAGCTCGGACAGAAGGAAGTTCAGATGGAGGAAGAGTTCAATGCCGCGGACTGATCACCAGACAAGGCGTTAGTTTTCATGTGGGACATACTGAAACAGGAGACAGACAACAACCCGGTCTTCCTCTCTGAATCTAGCTGAAGAATGATTAGAACAATGCAGCAGGGAGAGCAGGTTGCAGAGGGAGGGCGACTCCTGGCCGACCCTGATACCCCCGTGAGAGACCAAGGTGATGGGGAAGGAGGAATGAGTAGAGAGATTTGAGATCAAGTCAGTAGGACTTGATTCAGATGGGGCAGGGGGAGGGGACGGATTTCTTCATAGAGAGAAAAGCTTGGTTCTTACAAGAGCCTATGTGGTTGAAGTCCGCTGTATACTCTTGGCTGGGAACTTGGACTTAAAGGGCCATTGCAATCTTTAGACTCATGGAACCTGACTGTGGTTCCTATCTAATTTTGGACCTCATTATTTTCACCTTCCTTTGTCTACTGACAAAAGCCCTCGTCGGGATGTGGGGAGGGAAACAGCAATGCTTCACTTCACTGATGATTACTGGTTTCGTAATACATCACACACAGACTCAGAGCGGCTCTGCCTATTAGCTGGGGATGCCCACTGACACATAATGACCGCCTGGTGTTCCTGCACCATCATAATGATCGCTTCTCTCACTTTACCTTATTTCTTGAAGCAACACTCAGAAAGGATAAATCACTCCACTCCTAAAGTTGGTGAGAAAACCAAGACCGGAGAGCCACAAGCAGGCTACATTTCCAGGCTTCCAACTCTCTCCTCTCCCTCAGGCACCTGCCTTTTTGCTTTATTCCAGATGCTAAGTGGGAAGCTGCTGGCTCTGTGCAGCCAGAGGATGTTCAAATAGCAAGGCCCACTTGGCTAAGGGCGAGGCCACAGCTGGGAGGATGACTCACGCTGGCTCCAGGAAGGAAACAAAACAGTCTCAGAAATTTGGTGGTGATGGGGTAACAGGGTTGGGGGGAGGTATCTGGAGAAGGCTACTGCCTTTTCCAGGAAGGTGGTGAAAAGGCTAAAAAAAAAGTTCACTTACTGATACAAGAAATCAGATCATTAAATCTTTCCTTAGGAAAGAGGGGGTTTTCCAGCCCACGGAAGTAGAGCTTCAGAACACCAGCCACAGAATTAATATCATGGTTACTCTGGTCATCAGCCAAAGGATTTTCACCTAGAAAGAAAAAATGAGTTACATGCACTGTGCCTCTCTTTTTTTCCTCAGAAAAAAAGTATGTTTCTACACACACACATTGCTATATACACATTTATCTTTTAATTATGCTTTATGAAAGATTATATGGTTCCAAAATTAAAATAATTGGTTTAGATATCCTACCCCATGATTAACCTAAAAATAGCTGGTGAAAATAAGAATTTTAAAAAAATCTTATGTTGCCAAATAATCCCTTGCAAGTTACCCAAACCTTAAAATAAAATATTGTGGGATTTATAATTTTACCCAATGTTTTTTTAAAGCTAAAATCAGTAATCTTACTTTGACATGAATTCAAATACTACATTCTGCATTTCATACCCTGCTAGGAAAAAGACACAGTGTTGATCTGGCTGGCTAAGTTATATGAGTCATCAAAATCTATCAGAAATATCAAATAGTAATTGCAAATACTATTAAATCAACAGGTATTCTCCAAAGTGGCATGGTGGCATTACAGCACACCCGAAAGCCACGTTGAGCAGATGGTGATGTTGAAATCAGGCCAAAGAATCCTAAAAGGTAATCACCATGGAATCAAGGAGTTTACCTAAAAACAGATATTTTACAAAAATACTACCAATATAAAATCATATTATTATTTACGGTAAGCAGTTTTAAAATATTAGGTAACTGGCTGCACCAGTCCATCTCTCTGAGAATTAAATTGAGATAAAATCCTCAATAAGTTCACATAATTTGCAGCCTTAGATTAAACTCCATTCTTTATTCTCAGGCCTACTTTCACAAGTTCACCAAAAGTATGCACCGGATTTTAATTTTTTTTTTTTTTTTTTGCCTCTTGGGATGGTTTATTTACAGTGACCTGTTGTTCCCTTTTCCTTGCTTTTCGGTGGGAAATCATGGAACGTGAATTCATCAGGATACATATATTTTCCCACTGTGAGAAAGCCTCATTGCACAGATCACAAATAACATATACCAGGGGAATTTCCAAGGAAAAATGGCCCAGCATTGTGCCTGCGGTGACTGGCCCGGGCACTCCACACCTCATCACATTTCAGCTTATCATCCTGAACAAGTATATGTAGGACCTTGGCACAGTCGGCTGCTGACCGGGGTTCGGGAGGGGGGTGGGGAAGGGAGGCTATTCTGCCCAACACAGCACATTGGTTACAGAATTTGGAACAGGAAAAAAACCAGGCAGCTCCAAGGTTACTTGTCCAACTCATGTTGCAGACACTGAAGTGTTTTATGCCTCAGGAGAAAGGAGACAGAGAGAGAAGGTAGCTCCAGCTCCATGAAGGTTCAGATATAACCAGAAGCAGGTGCCATAAAATCATAATCTTTGAAGAGCATTAAGAACTAACAGCTACCATTAAAGAGTCAGGCATTTTCATAGATTATATTTAATTCTTACAACAATCATGCAGCTTCACAGATGAGGAAACTGTGGCCACAGTGAGGCCCAAGTCACTGACCGAATTCCCACGATTAGTAAATCGGAGTCCAGTTTGACTCTAGGTCTGCTGTTGGAAAAGCATATGATTTTGCTAATCGTAATGTAATTAACAGACAGCTGACGAGGATTTATTTGATTATCTGATAGCCAATTATGAACATGAGTAGGGAATTAACTAGGGTCCCAGAGACGGGCCCTGGGGATGGTGATAGAGGGAAGAAAAAGATCCTGACAAATGGCCAGTGGGAGGGGTCCCCTCATACACCTGCTGTCTAGGCCCAGGGTTGTTCTTGTCACTCTGTCTGGAATCCTGCTGGGTGCCACCTCTGATACAAGTGCTGGGATTATCAGTGCCAGTCCTGAATCAGTATGCAAAGCTCATACGCTTTTCCACCTTCGATAAACGAGACTCATGATTTGGGCCTCAGCTCTCAGCTCCCCTGCGTAGATGCTTGCTCCTGCATCTGCAGTGAAGTAAATGCAAAGACAAAATTCTCCAGGACACATGCCACAGGTGCACCACTGCGGTGTGCAGAAAATGATGACTTTTTACCATGGGTTGCTAATAGGAATAGATGCGCAGTTACCTCTCTCAAATGAGTTTTTGATATCATTGACTTCCACCTGGGAACCAGACACTCTGAAAATCCCCTGATGCTGAAGACCTAAAGGCAACAGAAGGGAAAGAGGTGAAGCATCACGCCATATCCTCTGGGTCCCTGTTCTCTCCAGGAGTAAGCGTTACATGAAAAGTATGCTGTGGAAACGCTCCTCGCGATCTTTTAAACATGAAGAGTCAGGAGCTCATGGCTTACCATAGAGGTTGATGAACCGAATGCAGCTCTCCACAATGAGGGGGATCACCTGTCCCGAGTCCTGAGTCAAGAGAGGGAAACCTGTCAATCTCAAAGGAGTGGGAGGAGCCACACATAACAAGAAAGCTCTCAGCTTAACAGTCATTAGCGAGTGAGTTTTTACTCTTAGAGATGATCATTTTTCAAATCCACCCCCTCTACATCTTCCACAAGGCCAAAGATAAAAAAAATGAAAGACTATATCTCAGCAAAGGTATATTTCAGTTCTGGAGCAAACCAAATTAAATACATGCAAGGCAAGTCTGTTTTGACTTAACGCTGCTGTGCCTACAGATGTCAAGGGCTAATGCATCTTTTATATTTAGGCTTACATTCCAAAATGAATAAATGCGGGATTCACTTTTTGAAACTTTTGTTTTGTAAATACAAATGGGCAATCTTTAAGGGCCCATGGAAAGAACTCCAGGTGTTATAATCACGGTGCCTTAGGCCAGATCAGTCACACCGCTCACTGGAGCAGTCTTTCTCAAGGTCCTCCCTGGGCCATCACTAGGAGTATAACATGCGGCTGTGAAAGGGCTTCCGTGTGTTCCGGTGCATGATGCCAGGGGTGTTTACCGACAACTAAAACATGTCATGTATTTACTTAGTTTGCATCAGAACTGACTCATCCTCACAGATTTCCCATGTCTTAAGAGTTAAGGGGGGAAAGTGCCCAGAGGGATGCTCTGTTAAGATCTCATTTTCTTAGGAAGGAAGATTTTTTGGCCTTCTTCCCCCACATCTTGCAAAATAATCACTGCCCTTCACGGAACAAATGTAAACTCTGGGAACGCTCAGAAATGTGTATAGGATGACAAATGAGATGCAGGGGCTGCCTGAGGTCACGGTTACATGTGCACCAATGCCATGCACTCCACGGAGTTAAAGGAAGTTCCTGAGGACAGAATTCTCTTCGTGTCTGCTTAAGACTGCTCTTTCAGGAATTAGATCTTTACAGGAAACATGGGTCACAAAAATGAGTAGCTGGCATCGAGTATGCATTGATGAAGAATTGTATTCTGAAACACAAGAACTTAGTTGTCTTAACATATGCGAGCAATTCCGAATCTGCTAACCTTTCCAGTGAGGCAGTAGAGGAGGTTTGGGGAGGGTGTGGTTCAGCAATTTAAACTCTTCCCCATTCCTAGAAGGGGTAATGCACTTCTCAAGGAAGAGCTTCATTTGAAGTTTTAAGCCAATTTAACCAGTGTACAAACCAGTTAACGTCCAATTACTTCTGGAGCCTGTACTAAGTTTCTCTAATTAGTTAATTTGTTTTAGGAGCATAAATCGTATTAATTCCTTAAAGAAGAGCCTTAAGAATAAAAACACATTTCTGTGTGGACCAGTTGACTCAAGAACAGTCACTGTAACCACACAAAGTGTACCGAATATGAGGGGACTTTTCTCTAAGACACAGGTGTATGTCGGAGGATGTAGCCCATAAATGGATATTCACGTGATAAGGTCACCTAAAACAGCAGCCACTATTTAGATGTAAGTCATAAAAGGAGAATATTAGTTTACACCTCTGCTGAATTTAGTATTAAAAACAAAGGACAGAAGATTATTAAAAGAAAAATGTTTGCACTAAGAAAGTTATAAATGGAGAAGTCTTAGGTTTCCGGATTATCAAAAAAAATTTGTGTCTTTACATTGACTCAAGTGATTGCTCATCTTTGAGCCACGGTCGGTATTTCATTCAGATACAGTGAATTCTGTAGCCAAAAAGTAATGAGCGTGTGTTTTAATTTAATTCCATGGATGCCAGACGCTCGGGTAGGGAATGCCTTTTAAGAAATAAGACAATGGGCTGCACTCCATCTAGCATTCAAGTAAGTCCCTCTGTGTTTCCCAGCGGGGAAGAGAGGGAAGACTTTGCTCTTGCTGGCCCACAGTGGTGGTGTGCAGGCCTCAAGCGGTCTAGTGCCTTTCAGAGGTGCAGAGACAGAGGACCCTGCGTCCTCCCTATTGGTCTTCACAGCTCCCTCTGAGAAGGAGAGGGCTCATTTCCGCGAATTTTCCATGATAAATGGTCGATCCCTTTATCAGTCCTTCAGTTAGGTTTCCTTGAACTGTTCTTCATGACAAATCTCTTAAAAATATAACATGTGCTTTTCCAGTGACCTTAGGCAGACGGTCTCCTACTGTCTGATCCAATCCTACAGAATCCGACGTGTGCTTCTTGGAGCTTTTTCCATGCTGGCTTTCTCTGCCAGGCTATCAGCTGCACATCTCACTGTTTTCATTTTATTGTTCCCTCTTCTCCATCTAACTTGTCCCTGCATATAAGCCAGGGGCTGGGAAACTAGATAATCAAATTTGACAATAATTTTGTATTCAATTAGGGTCAATGAGGCTCTTCTGGGTTTAAGGCTTAAGGCAATAGATTTGTGATTGCTTTTTAGGTGCTTCAGTGGCGTTTCACTTAATGCCAGGGCTAGGGCCCATTTTTAGGGCAGCCAGAGGTTATCGATCCCTCTCTGTATATATATTTGTCTACCTGTCCCTACACAGGCCATATGGAGACACACAATTTCTTAATCACTAGTGCACATGTTCAACAAACAGATCAGCCTTTAAAGAAAGAAAGATGTCTAATATAGCATTGAGAGAGGTTGTTTAAAACAGTTTCCTATCTAAACATCACAGCTCATTTCATAAAATGTTAGCTATGAAGGAGAAGTTAAACTCCTTTTTTTTGTGCAATTTACTCTAGGATCCAGAATCCAGTTTTAAATGTGTAGTTGGTATTTCACATTGACTTTCCTTAACTCAAAGTCGATACATCTGCCAAGCACATATTTTAAAACCCAAGACTTCTTCCATGTTTACTGAAGAAAACTCTTCCTCTTAGTGTTTGATCCTTATAGTTCCTGTCTAGGAAGACCTATGTATAAATCCAATTTCCAACTGCAAACATTTTTCTTTTAAAGACCTTGAAAATCTAATTGAAGCCAAGCATGAGTATGACTTGAAAATGACACCAACGGCAAAAAAGGCTGAGCCCGCACGTCCCCCTAGCACTATACCTGGTGTCTCGTGTGCGAGTTCCTTCGTCCTCGGCTAGGAGCATTATCAGAAATATAGGATGAAAAAGAAGACAGGGAGTAAACACAGCAGAGATCCAAGCTACAGACCACAGGGGCTTACAATCGATCCAATATAATGAATTCCTCAAGTCACGGGAAATCAAGACTCTTGTCATGCTTCAGAGTTAGCCTAACAAATGGATTTTAAATATATATTTTGTGCCATCTCGCTTCCACAAGTAAAAATACAACATCTTACCAGATTGCTCTTTTCCTTTGCGTGCAAAGGATGGCTTTTTTCAAAAAAAAATTTTTTTTAAGTAAAGACAGAGGGCTTTCCCTTTCGCCCGCACAAAAATACCCACGTTTGTTTCCTCTTTTGAAGGCACTCAACCCAAATATTCTTTCCTCTCTGACTTCAGGAAATATTATATTGATTTTTCGGGGAAAGCAGAGAGCCCCAGGACAGACTTGGACATAATGACCTGCCTCGCATCCTGAGAGGCAGAGGCCATTATAGTCAGAAGCGTGGAGATCAGCCACCCAGATGGCTGCTGCCAGTACCTTGACGAATGCTTCCAAATCCCCATTAAACAACTTAGCATTATACTGTGAGCGGGGTCTGGACTTCCTGTGTTTCTGGGGCTTAGGGGGAACACTGGGAGGCCTGAGGGAAGGGAATATAATTACTGAGCATGGTAGAAATCAAACAATAAATTCAACACCCACAGGGCAGAACAAAATTAGAAAGCACTGGAATCTTGGGTTGTTCCCCACCCCCACCCATGGGGGACAACAGTCCCTTGCCTCTCCCATTTCTTTACTTTTACGTATGTACCAAGAAACAAACACACGAGCTATTCATTCAGACTGCCATTTCTCTGTATGCTGTAGCTGACATTTGTTTATTTGCTCATTTGTTTAAAAATAAGTAGGACTGAAGGGATTTGGCTCTGTCTGGGAGAGTGTTACAAGGCCCGGTTCTTGTTATTCTGAATCATGCAGTGAGCATGAACAGTCCTAAAAATGAGGGCTCTGATAGACCCCTCCACCCCCAGATGAGAAATTAAATATAATACCTTACTTACAACAGAATTCTTCAATGCACAGTAACATTACCTCTGTTCCATGTGAATGGGATTTTTATTTTGTGCAAAAGTAACTATCAACGGGTCATAAGTGGAAAAACTGACAATGCTACTTCTTGGTAGTTTCAGCGCTGTTTCTGATTCATGCAGGCTACATGAATTGCTATCTCTTAAGAACAAACGATCCTGCTGTCTGAACATTTGTGGAGCATCAGGATGGACTCTTCCTACCCCCACCTCTGGTCTGTTGTTGGCTATGGTGGATAAGCCAGTTCTTCTGACAAACGCACACCCAGCACACCACGTACTCTGTTCAGAAGCCCTGCATCACCTTGCCTGTCATTGGAGAGAGGGGACCCCTTTGGCCCCACCCCGTTAGAGGAAGGAGGGTCAGGACTGGCTGACTCAACTTCTGCAAGTGAGCTGAATGGGAGAGAAGGCACTGAGAAGCCGCTCTGGATGCTCCAACGTAAACTCCTCTTTACTTGCAGGGCTCAAAGGAGGATGCACACCACACACGGAAATTACATCAAGCCCTTCATGAAGCTGCAGACTCTCTAGGGAAGAATTAACTTTAGTTTATGTTGTTCAAGTTCAGAAAGTCGGCTTTAGAAAGAAAATCCCCAGAACTGATGGGGAAGCTGACGAACTTCCTAAGATACCATCACAGCAGTGAGGGGATGGGGGGAACAAACCCTCTGGTAGTTAATTCTATGGCTCCGGCAGGAGGGCTCATGTGACTAATGGGGTGCACAAGTAGCACCTGAAGACCCCTTGGGGCCTGAGAGCTTAAAAGAGCTTTGCTGGTGTCTAGAAGAGAAGGTCCCATGTCATGCCCCACCACAGCTGAAATTTCTTTTATACACTGAACTGTGTGCCATTCATGGAGGAAGGGATCTGGTGGGTGCGAATAACAAAACAACTAACCACCAGAGTTCAGCCCTCTGCGCTGGATTTCATCTGCTCTTTTCACCATTTCAGAAGCCTTTCAAATGATGTGGATTTTACTTTTATTCAGGTACGGTGAGTCCAACAGATCAGGGGACAATGGCCGTTGAAAAGAGCTCATTATTCACAGTTCCCAAGAGGAGAAGGCACAGGGGGAAGCCCCAGGCTTGGTCAGGGGACAGAAAGAAGGGAAAATGTGGGCACGAGGCCTTACTGCAGTTCCCATGGGAAGGAAGGGGAGAGGCAGGCTGAGGTTGGCTGGAGGATTTCACGGAGCACAGGGGCTCTGCACGGCTGTATGTGGTCCTGGGGTGCCTGGTGCAGGTGAACAGCAGCCCTGACAAGGGACGTGGTTGGGAGGATGAGCTCTGGATTGGCTTGTTTGCATGGGGAATTCACTAATTTGGGAGGGGCAGTCCCTCTAGGGTCATAAGATACCAACGCAGCAAATACAGAAACTCCAAAGTGGTTATTACAAAGGACAACGGAGCATCACGTGTGGTGACACCTGGAGTGGCTGACGAAGCCAAGGAGATCGGCATTTCATGTGGTCACTGGTTCCTGGGGCAAGCAAGTCCTACAGCTGGAGCCAGAGCCTCCAGTGACATCGGATAATTAGTCCTGCAGACAGGGAGAAGCAGGATAACCCTGGCGAGGGGCCCACAAAGGGAAACCACCTGTCCCAAAGGTCCTAAAGCATAAAGTAGATGTGAAGAAACTAAAGCTGTGGAGGGGACTTGGCGTGGGCACAAACTGCCTGAGCACCTACACACTAACGTCTACAGCGGAGGTGAGTCTGGCCCCACGACCCCCACATCAGGTGAACACAGGTAGTGGTGTTCAAACACCCACCTGCATGACTCATATTCGGGTGCTGTGCCTATCACACAACTTCCCGATAATCTGGTTTTTTGTACGGGATGCACGCATGAAAGAAGCACTGGTCAGGCTGACATGAAAATCTAGTCTCCTTGGCAATGACGTTCTCATTGCAAATTAATATATTTGAATCCTTTCCTGGAAATATGTTTTAAGTGCCTTACATTAATTATATTTTAGAAACAATAGGTAAAACAGAGAGACACAGCATTGTGACAAAATATGAACTGTGTATTACTCATTAGAGGTAATCTCCCTCTTTGATTTTTTTTCTTTGGAAAAGTTTAGAAAAATCAGTAACTGCAGTTTTTGGGTTGGTTCACCAAGAAGCAAGAGGGGTTTCTTTGTGAATAATCTGCCCAGCAGTAACATCACAGAGCCTTAAAAATCAACTTGCCAACTGCCATAGCAGACATACAGTGTTCTACATTCTCTCACCTCCAAGAGAACTCCCCAAAGTTCAAGTTGCAGTATGTCAACTAGAGTCACTGCTGGCTGTTGCACAATGGTGATATAAAAAAGTAAAAGTTGAGACCGACAGTGTGGAGCAGTGGGTAAAGCTGCTGTCTGTAGCGCTGGCATCTCATATAGGCACTGATTCGAGTCCTGGCTGCTCCACTTATGATCCAGCTCTCTGCTGTGGCCTGGGAAAGCAGTGGAAGATGGCCCAAGTCCTCGGGCCCCTGCACCTGCCTGGGAGACCAGGAAGAAACTCCTGGCTCCTGGCTTCAGATCGGCACAGCTCTGGCTGCTGTGGCTATCTGGGGAGTGAACCAGCGAATCAAAGACCTCTCTCACTCTGCCCCTGCCTCTCCTCTCTCTGTGTAACTCTGCCTTTCAAATAAATAAATAAATCTTAAAAAAAAAAAAAAAAGTAAAGCTGTTGCAAGCTTTCTCCAAGCCAAATCACAAACTACTTCTCAAATGGTTTTCCTTAGAAGTAACTTCAAAATCCTTCCATAAATGGAAAAACAAACAAGCCAAAAATGTCGTGTGGCTGTTGGCGTTTAAAAGTGAAGTGTTTAAAGTGAACCATAGGTGGGTAGCTTAAGGGTATTCAATAGAGTTCTGATATGTGTATGACATTAGACAACGTAGGGCCAGGAAGTAACTAGTATCTTCTACTCAGCAATGCAGTAGGTGACACATCATATTGTTTCATTGTTTTTAATTAAACTACCACATCAATAGTCTTGTCAGATGATTTGTAAAAATTTAAAGTGTTTGCGACTAGATAAACCAAGCCTATTCAACTTGGGTTTCTATTGTTGACTCTGCTTGTTTACAGAGTGATAATTCCACTGAGAACCCTTAGATTCGTCAGAGTATATCTCGTCTTGTGAGAACACCACACTTCTCACGTTGCTATACTTCCTCAAACCAAAACTATCTTTTATATCTGTTAATAAAATAAGTTTATTCTTGCAGCATTTAAATAAATGGTTGCTTCTTGGAAAAGAGAAAAGAAAGTAAGACATACTAGGAGTTACGATAAAAATAGTTTCCTACCTTGTGGTCATATATTCAGCTCTGTGACCTACAGAAAAAAAATGAAAATAAATAAACTGAATTTTGTATCATCTGTACCTCATTTTAAGATGCTGGGTTTATAATATACATATTTTAAGTTGGAAAACATGAGGATAGCATATATAAATAAAAATTCAAAGTAAATATTATATGACATCTATATATAAAAATTTAATAAATTCTATAATTAAAGAAACATGTTTCATTTGGCAATTTGAAGCAGGTTTTTTTTTTTTTAAGGAAGACATATCTGCTTGATTCTAACTGTAAGCTCAAAGATGAAATCCACATAAAACATTCAAGATTTGCATGCCTTAATTGATATTTATGGGGGAGGAGTACACAGTCAAACAGGGTTGGGAGAACTCAATTTCCTTTAGCATACATCAGTATTATTTTCATACTATGAAGTCAGAGGAGTAGGAGAAAAGTTGTATTCTATAATCAGAAATGACATTTGCAGATACTGAAGAACAAGAACATTAAATTACACTGCATTCCACCAACGTATAAGCCAAGGGCCTTTCATAGAGTTCTCTGTCATTTAAGACACGAGCGGCTTCTTGGCTGGTTTTTAATAACAGGTCTGTATTTTTGTGGTGCTCCTGCCATCTGCCCCGACTGCAAGTCTGCGTGTGTCTATGGCTGCTGTCCGGTCTGTCTTCCGTTTCAGGTGCAGCAGTGGGAAGGGGTGTGGGCGAGCCGCACCACTCAGCTGGTTTGTTTGTAAAATGATGATGTGATTCCGAAAGAGCTCGACAAGACAGCTGGCAGAGGGAGCTGGCGCTGCAACACAAACAGGTGAGCCCTGTCCGCCGCGGCACAATGCCCACAATGCCGTGCGTGATTCACTCGCAGGGCAGGGCCAGCTGGCTTGCTGAGAATTGTGAATGACCATTCCCTGCCTGCAGCACAGCCCTTCACTCTTGAATAACAAAGGGAAGTGTTTCACTACTATCTATGGATTCAACAGGGGCAACTGTTACTATCAGAGAGAGTCTTTCCCAACACAGGTGCAGGCCACTGTCCCTGTCGCCCATGACTCGGAAGGGGGAAGCGCAGAAGACAGGATGTCCTCTACCTCCCACACCCAGCGCTACCCATCATTTAGCTACAAGTCCCTTCCTTCTGCTGGCCGCCGTCTACATCCAGGGAGAAGAATTCACGGGAAGGTGTACACGCAACTCCAAAGAACTGATAGCTCTTTGGGAATGCCAGAGGAGATCTGGAAAGCAGAGGAGGCAGGCTGCGAGCTGAGTGCCCTGTGCAGCGCCCGGTGAGACACCCTGACGCAAATGCTCAGCAGGAAGCAGGCTATCCAGGGTGAATGCACAGAGAAGGTGGGCCTGCAGGTAAGGACTGGAGAGTCACCATCATTCCGGGCGCGCTGGAGGCATGGGCGCTGACCCGGGGTGAGTCAGCAGAATGAGCAAGGGGTTGGTGGAGAGCAGCTCCCTGGCCTGTGCTGTGTTCTGTCATGCTGTATTCTTTATCATAGCGTGCAAGTATGCCATGACATATATTAGTAACAATAAAAGCGGCAATGATGTGTATTATTGATTAGATAATAATCAGAGCAATTTATATATAAGCTCAAATCTTCATAACAACAAGGTACTTCTTCAGTGGTCTTATTTTACAGAAGAGACTAAGCAAAGAGGAAAGTGACTCGTTTGGTGTCGGGCTATCAGTATGGGGTGGGCCTGGCACTAGGTTCCAGGTATGCTCTAATTCTGGACCTGAGCTCCGACACTGTACTGCATACTACCTTTAAAACTGTGGGGTTTTCCATTGAGGAACAGTGTTTTTTTTTGTTTGTTTTTGTTTTTTTTTTCCATACTATTGTTGAACTCTTCTACTTAGCGTAGGGTTACCTTTACAATCATTAAGTAAACTGAAAATAGATCACTGTAAAAATTCAGAGTGGGAATGGGAGAGCGAGGAGAAGGAAGGGTTGGGGTGTGGGCAGGAGGGAGGGTAGGGTGGGAAGTTATCACTGTGTTCCTAAATCTGTATATATGAAACACATGAAACGTGTACAACTTAAATAAAAAAATTTTTTTAAATAAAATTGTGGGGTCTTTTTATTCCGAGAAAATATTTTGAAAGATGGCAGAGGAAGTGTATGTATGGATCATGGCTTATACTTCTGTCTGGTCAATATAGCTAAAGGCAAATGCAAAATACCAAAGATATTAGTAAGTAAATATATACATTGGTAAACTAATAAATATCTATAAACTTATTTTGAATAATACAGGTTAATCACTTTCAAGTGATTCAGTGATAACTATGCCAATGATAACTCAGCCATGAAATGTTTTTTTTTTAACTTTGAAATTTTGCTGTTTTTCTTTTTGATTAACATGAAATACTTCTATATTTTAATACGGGTGCATTGCAGTATTATGCATACAACATAAACTCATCAAATTGGGAAAGTAATACTTCCATCTTTTCCTTTTCTTTATGTTTGGAGTCTACCAGCTCCTCTCTTCCAGTTCTTGATACAGAAAAATTATAATATAGAAATTATGCTAGTTTTGGTAATATATTCCATCCAACTACTCCCCAGATTTAGAAAAAGATGATCTATAAAATGGCATAAAATTATTTTGCTCCATTCTTCCCTCGTTAATAGTGTGAGATAAAAAATTAAGAACCTATAAAAGATACATTTTGAATAATGAACCAAGAGCAAGCTTTGCAAGAACTCTTATTCACGGCAAAACCACACTGCCACATGCAGCGTTTTTCCAGCTAATAGTCCTAAGTGTGTCTCCGCTGATGAATGAGGCTTAATTTTTTTAAATCGGTATCATCATTAATAGATCAATAACACGCAAACTCAGAAGCCTCTTTCTCAGAGACACATGAAAGCTTCCAGTGGTCTGAGGATTAGATTTCAATCACTTTCTTTGGAAGGCTACTTAATTATTAAAAGCAAGAAACAACTACCTCCCACCACCTCTACATAGAAGATATTTAGAGGGGAAAAAAAATGACCCACGATCATTCTTGGTACAAATTCCTTCCTCGACTACTCTTACATTTCATGTGAGAATTATGATGTGAATCCCTTTTCACACCTAAACACATTTTATCGCCACAGAGCAAAAGAAATAGCCAAGTATAGTTTGGTGGAAATTAGAGATTAAAAAAAAAATCTAAATAAAATATTTAAAATGTGCACAGCTCAAGCCGGACAAAGACCTGCTGGATTTCTTCTTAATGAATGGTGGGTGGGGACTCCTGGGGTTACTCTGCAGCAGACGCCCCCCCCCCTTTTTTTTTTAAGAAAACAAACTACTGCAGTGCTTTTCTCCAAAAACAGAGATTCACAATCTGCTTCTCCTTTTAAAAGTCTACCTGTACTCCTAGTCAAAGACAGACAATGCATTGCGTGAGAACAACCTAGTTCATTCCTGTGTGAGAAACCTTATGCCCATGTAACATGGAGCTCAGCTCCCAGTGTCAGATTTACTGTGTTTAGCAAAAATTGTACCGATATTTATGCCCCCTTAACTTCAAGTGCTGCACACAAAGAAGCTGATGTGAACACGAAGGCTCATTACTGAAAAGGAAAATGATTTTAGTGCCTTGGTCTCATATATGCCCGCATACTGTGGTCAATTTAACATCCATTTAAAAACAAACAACATCACAAGAACTTAATGGTGCCGCAGAGGATGAAGAAGAAGATGACGGCCTGAATGCACTATACAATTCTTTCTGTTTCAACTGTTTCCCAAGATTTGGAGTTCTGAATTTTCATAGTGCCACTTGAAGCGCCCAAGCTAGCTGCTTTGCAATGCTGTAAATCAAAGAATTTACTGGGCTACTGGTAGCCTGCCAAAAACAGAGCAGTAAGGCAGGCCAAACACATGTCTGCAGTTACAGCTTCAGCTGTGTACAGTCAACTGCTAAATCCCTGGGTTAGGCTCTATTTGTTTTACTATGAAGGTAGTTTTTGTAGCAGTAAGTCTAGTATAATTCAGAGAGGTGATTTCTACATTAAAAAGTCAGGACGCTCCCTAAACACACCATTTAGTCCTGCACTACTAACCTTATTTAGCCAAATCGGGACGTGGATTCCTTCCTTAGAGCTCACCATTGGATTACTTCACCATGGGCCAAGCGCCATTAACTCTCCCAGTCTCCTGTGGTATAAGCCAGTTGATAGGAGGATGGCTTGCGCTGAAAGCCAGCAGGCTTACCAGCATCAGGCTCACAGGTGGGGTGCATCTTCCACAGACAGCTCCCAGGAAGGTCTGCCACCCGTGAGGAGAGGCTAGGGTGTCTGCTGCCGTTAAGCAAAAACCACGCGGCTCCTTCTGCAGAGGAAACCGATGCCATGGAGGCCTCACATCCCTGAACACAGCATGTGTCCCTGGGACACTGGATCTCACTGAGAGAAATTCCAAGACCTAGAAATCTTAAAGTTCACAAGGTATAATATAGCTCTACACAGTTCAGTGGCAGAGATGGAATCTGGCACATGGATTCAGCAAATTGGCTAAACTATAGCCCTCTCCATAACGACACGCAAAGGGACATTAACCACTGGGACTTTCTCTCTAGTCCTAAGAACATCTATGTAGGATAAGTGCCATAGAAGTTTCTGGAAGTGACCCAGGCATGTGAACACATGTCTGAATGTGCTGCCAAGAACGCATTCACCCACCACTTAAATTCTCTTAAACTCACAATTTTCTTTTAAATATTTGATTGAGAGGAAGAGCTACAGAGAAGGAGAGACAAAGAGAAAGGTCTTCCATCTGCTAATTCACTCCCCAAATGGCCGCCAACAGCCAGAGCTGGGCTGATCTGAAACCAGGAGCTTTTTCCAGGTCTCCCACATGGGTGCAGGGGCCCAAGCACTTGGGCCATCTTCTACCGCTTTCCCAGGCCATCAGCAGGGAGCTGGATTGGAAGAGCAGCAGCCAGGACACGAACTGGCACCCACATGAGATGCTGGCGCCGCAGGTAGAGGCTTACCCTACTATGCCAAAGCGCTGGCCTCTAAACTCACAATTCTAAAAAAATACCCAGCCTTGTGGAGAAAGACTTTGTGCCGGTAAGCCTTCACCTACACTGATGATAATTCATGTTTTAAGGCTTGCAACTGGCCTTGAGGGCATCAGTTGAAATATTAAGCATTTCTACATAATAGAGAGGGGGCAAAAAAAAAAAAGGACTTACATGATTACTATGAGGGAGGAAAAAGTGGGAAAACTGAAATTGAACATGCTCACTGAAGCAAGAAAAGCATTCAAAGATACGAAGACCCTACAAAAGCGTAGAAAGAGGCAGTGCAAACAATGTTCTTAACTTGAAGAGAACCGACCCAGACTGGAGGGGGAGGGAGTTGCCAGACAAATCAGAGCCTGATGACAAAGAGGATATGGCAGTCTGCACCTGGGGACAGGGGTCCGAGTTCTGACTGGGGATGTACAGGATCAGTCCTCTGCACCATCCCCTCACCTCCCTGCCCCTGCTGTCTTGGGAGCTTAGTCCTCTCCCTTTTCCCTGTTGGTTACAAGCTGTTAGTAAATACATTGATTTTTTATTTATTTATTTATTTATTTATTTTTTGACAGGCAGAGTGGATAGTGAGAGAGAGAGAGACAGAGAGAAAGGTCTTCCTTTGCCGTTGGTTCACCCTCCAATGGCCGCCTCGGCCGGCGCACTGCGGCCGGCGCACCGCGCTGATCCGATGGCAGGAGCCAGGTGCTTCTCCTGGTCTCCCATGGGGTGCAGGGCCCAAGCACTTGGGCCATCCTCCACTGCACTCCCTGGCCACAGCAGAGAGCTGGCCTGGAAGAGGGGCAACTGGGACAGAATCCGGTGCCCTGACCGGGACTAGAATCCGGTGTGCCGGCGTCGCTAGGCGGAGGATTAGCCTGTTGAGCCACGGCGCCGGCTGATTTTTTTTTATACAATTGAAACGAATAGCTGTGAATGTCTGGCACAGTGGTTAAGCCACTCTTGGGACACCCACATCCTATACTGGAGTGCCTGGGTTCAAGTCCCAACTCCAGCTTCAACTCCAGCTTCCCTCTGGTGGACACTCTGGGAGGCAGCAGGTTCAAGTACTTGGGTCTCTGCCACTCACATGGGACTCCTAGATTGAGTTCCAGGATTCTGGGCATTTGGGGAGTGAACCAGCAGATGGGAGATCCGCCTCTTAAATAAAATACATTAATTTTTTAAAAATTAAAAACGCATTCTTTGAAAGATGTATTTAATTTATTTGAAAGACAGAGTTATAGAGAGAGGTAGATATAGAGAGAGAGGTCTTCCACCTGCTGGTTCACTCTCCAAATGGCTGCAACAGCCAGAGCTGTGCTGATCCAAAGCCAGGAGCTTCTTCCGGGTCTCTCATGTACATGCAGTGACCTAACGACTTGGGCCATCTTCTACTTTTTGCTTTCTCAGGCCATAGCAGAGAGCTGGATCATAAGTGGAGCAGCCGGGACTCAAACTGGCGTCCACATGGCATGCCGGCACGGCAGGTGGCGGCGGCTTTAACCCACTGCACCACAGCGCCGGCCCCAATGTATGTTTTTATCCCAGAGAACATCCTTATAACCTTTACTTATATTTCCCAATTATTAACATTTGCCAAATTGCTTTACCTTCGCGTTCTCTCTCCTCTATTTTTTCTTTCTGAACCATGTAAAAGTCAGTTGCAGACATTATGACACTTCAGCAAAGTGTTTCTTAGGAATAAGAATGTTCTTCACAGCCGTAATACCATTATCATAATGTCATCTATATTTAAATTGCCCTAATTGTCCTCAAAATATCTTTATAATGTTTGCTTTTCTGACTAGGAATTTAATGAAGATTTGCTCCTGGCTTTGATGTGGCCCAGCCCTGGTCATTGTGGCCATTTGGAGAGTGAACCAGCAGATGGAAGGTCTCTCTGTCTGTCTCTTTCTCTCTGTAACTCTGCCTCTCAAATAAATAAATAAATGCATCCTAAAAAAAAGTGAAGATTCACACATTATGTTTGGCTTTTAAAGACACTCTTCAGTGGTCATTCCCTAAGGAGGATGGGATCACCAGAGGAAATAAGGAGATAAGGGGACTAAAACACTGCTTTGTGGGTAAGGAAGGTTCCTGCATGGTAGGAGGCAGGAGTTTAGGTGTAATGGTGGCAATCTCTTTTTGACCTGAGTTACTCATGCAACTCAGTTCTCATGCAACTCAGTTTTCCATCTCTCATTTCTTCTTCCCTCCCATGTTCTCTTTCACTTTTTGAAACATTCTGCAGGTTATAGCATGAGTAAAAGCTAATTATAGTAACAGACTATGAGGCACTAGACACAAGGACTTTGTGTCTGTTTTTCTCCTTTTAAATTTCATAAAGACAAAAAGAGAAACAAAATGTACACAGTCCCTTTGCCTACAGTCCCTTTGCCTCCCAGTCTCCTCATTTGTAAAAATGGGAAAATCAATAGTGCCCAATTAAAGCCCTCAGAACAATGCCTGGCACACACAAAGCCTTCTAAGTATTAGCTCTTGCTGTTGTTTTTGTCATTATTATGAGACACAGCAATCTACTGATAATTTTAGATTATTTCTTAACTACAACCAATGCCTATTGAAAGAAAAAAATAAATCACCCAAACTGGTTTAACTGGTTTCTAGAGTCCCAGCTGGGACAAAGACCAGCCAATTAAAACAAACGGGTGTGGCTTGAAGGGTAAAGTCGAGAAAAAAAGGAAGGAAGGGACTGGTCAGGAGGCAGGAGCAGGTACAGCCACTGTCTGGGGCACCACACTCTATGAAGTTCCCGCCTGGGGACCTGTGAGTCTGCTTTGCAGCCCTCCCTGGGTTTTATGAGTCTTTGTCAAGGTTAATGTCAAGCTTTAGGGGGAAAAAAAAAAACAGTTCCAGGGAGAACATGATTCTTACAAATACGGAGAGAACCAGATCTAAACATACAGATTCGCAAAGTACCGATCCACGAGTGACACCGCTCACGGCCTGTGAGGGCATGCACGACACACAGCCATAACCCAGGTCGTCCCCTGGCCTGTTCCACGTAACTGACCTTCTCCAAGGGTCCTCTGCAGCAAGTCATGCTTGGCCTGGAGCTTTGTGATGAGATTGCTGCCTTCCAAATATTCTCTGAGTTTCTGCGAAAGGCAAGAGGAATTTTTAATTCGTAAAAAATCATTCAATGTCAGGGGACTTCTCGTAGGAGATCTGAAATGCAGCCGCTTTCATATTCCACATCCCCTCCTAAGGGAGGACTTCTACAAACTAATCCCGAGCGGGATGTGACTTGTCTGCTGCTCCAAAGTCCTGCAGCATCAGCCACGGCTTGGGAGCCTGAGGGAGGGCCAGGGGAAGGGAACACTGCCGTGTTCTTAGGATTGTATCTACAAAACACATCGACTCTGTTCAAAACTAATTAAATTGTTTCTTAAATTTTTTTTCTTACAAAGATGCAGAATCTTAGGTCTCTTCCTCTCCAGACCTACTGATATCAGAATCTGTTTTAGTAATCTGTTTTAGTAAGCTCTCCTGGGGACACCTGTGGCCATCAAAGTTTAAAAACTTTGTGCAGAGCAGTCCTCTGATTTCTAAACTCTCACCCAGACTCATGGAATCAGGAACACTGAGAGTAGACCGGAGTCAGTAGTTCAATAAAGAACCCCAGGTGACTCTGATGCAATGATACAGGCAGCACTGGGTATCCGTGGATACCGCTTGACAGCGGAGGTGCATGCATTGGCCTGGTGGCTAAGCTACCAGGTGGGACTCCTTTAGCCCATGCTGGAGTGCCTGGGTTCAATTCCTGGTTCCCACTACTGGCTCTATCTTCCTGCTAGTGTAGATGCTGGGAGGCAGCCTTCATGGCTCAAGTAATTGAGTTCCTGGCTCCCAGCTTTGGCCTAGCCCAGCCCCTGCCATCAGCAGGCACTTAGAATAAACCAGAACATGGGAGCTTCCCCACATGCACTTTCTCTCTCTCTCACTGAACAATAACAAAAACAACAAAAAATTAAAAAGAGTGGCAGGTGTGCGGCACAGCTGGTTAAACCACCACTTGGGATACCTGCTTTCCACACTGGAATGCTGGTTTAAGACCCAGCTACTCTGCTTCTGACCCAGCTTCCTGCTAAAGCAACCTGGGAAGCAGCAGAGAACAACTCAAGTGCATGGGTCCCTGCCACCCACGGGGGAGACCCGACTGGAGTCCTGGACTCCTGGCTTCAGCCTGTCCTAGCCCTGGTTATTGCAGGCATTTGGGGGAGTACAGATATCTCTATGGCTCACTCGCTCGCTCGCTCTCTCTCTAGTTCTGGCTTTCCAGTGAATATAAACAAACAAACAAATACATAAGCAGTGACGTGGGGAGCAGTGGGCGCACCATGAAGTAGAACTGCTCGGTTTCCTGCTGGTTAGCTCTTCTCTTGGCGATGCTGGGCTTACTCAGGTAGGTTTCAGAGACAGTAGACTTCACCGACTCTGTGGAGCGACTGTGCTGGAAGCATTCAGAAACATCGTAGTCCTCGATGGTGACCATGTCTTGTATCGTCTGCAAGGTGGCTTCAGTCGTTTTCTTAACCTGGGAACAGAAATATATTTCTCATGTTCCTTATTTCATGAATTCCCAAAACAGTCATCTACTCTGTCAGGAGGAGAGTAGGACAGAGGTCCTGCCCCCAGGGAGTTGGGAGTCTGTTCAGGGAGCCAGAGAGACAGGTAAACTCGACCCCATATCACCAACTTAAGGGGAACATTTCTGCAGAATTATCCTAAGGAGGATACAACTTTATGTTTGAGTCCTTGTAAATCTCCCACATCACCGGGCACAGAATACGCAGATCAATGAATTATCACAAAGTGAATAAACACACCTATGGCAACACCACTCACATCAAGAAACAGTCCATTCCACACAATCCTATGCCTCTCCCAAGCACTGCACACACTCTGACACCCCGAAGGTACACACTACCCTAATTTCTTACATCATGCATTCGTTTTTACCATTTTTGTTCTTTACATCAATGTTATCCTAGAGCATATATGATTTTTGTCTTTGCTTCTTTTGCACAACTTTAGTGAGACCCATTCATTTCTGAGTATATTTCATTTCTGAATATTCATTCTAAGAACATATCATAATTCATCCATTTATTGATTGATTTTTTTTGACAGGCAGAGTTACACAGTGAGAGAGAAAGACAGAGACAGAGAGAAAGGGCTTCCTTCTGTTGGTTCACCCCCCAGATGGCTGCTACAGCCAGTGCATTGTGCCAATCCGAAGCCAGGAGCCAGGTGCTTCCTCCTGGTCTCCCATGCAGGTGCAGGGCCCAAGCACTTGGGCCATCCTCCACTGCACTCCCGGGCCACAGCAGAGAGCTGGACTGGAAGAGGAGCAACTGGGACAGTATCTGGCGCCCCAACCGGACTAGAACCCGGGGTGCCGGCGCTGCAGGCAGAGGATTAGCCTAGTGAGCTGCGGCGCTGGCTGCTGACTTTTTTTTAAAGTGTTAAGCTATCATGAATAATATTGCTATGAGCACAATTTTGTTGGGTCACACACACGAGAACTGTTGCTCATGGGGTATGCCAAATCATTTTCCAACATGACTGTTGTAATTTACATTCCCACTAAAAGAGCAGAATTCTTGTTACTCCACATTCTCACCCATAGTTGTTTTTATCAGTCTTTTAAACCATCATGTTTAAGAGTGGTGTCTGGTATGGCTTTAATATGCATGTGTCTGATGTACGAAATTGAACACACTAGTCTATGTTTGTTTATTTTTATTTATTTGAAAGGCAAAGAGATACAGAGAGATCTAGTTCACTCTCCAAAATCTCACAAGCACGACTGGGCCAAGCCGAAGCCAAGAGCTGGGAACACAGTCCAGTTCTCCCATGTGGGTGGCAGGGAACCAACTTGAGCCATCACCTGTGCCTCCTAGGGTGCACCTTAGCAGAAAGCTGGAACTGGAAGCAGAGCTGGAACTCAAATCCCTATCGGAGGGCTGGCGCCACGGCTCACGTGGTTAATCCTCCACCTGTGGTGCCAGCATCCCATATGGGCACCAGGTTCTAGTCCTGGTTGTTCCTCTTCCAGTCCAGCTCTCTGCTGTGGCCCAGGAGGGCAGTGGAGGATAGCCCAAGTGCTTGGGCCCTGCACCCGCATGGGAGACCAGGAGGAAGCAGCTGGCTCCTGGCTTCGGATTGGCACAGTGCCGGCCGTGGTGGCCATTTGGGGAGTGAACCAATGGAAGGAAGACCTTTCTCTCTCTCTCTCTCACTGTCTATAACTCCACCTGTTAAATAAAAAAAAAAAAATCCCTATCAGAATGTGGCATTGGAGCATCTTAATTGCCATGTCAAAGGCCGTCCCATATTATCCTCTTTAAAGCAACCTGGACCTCCTGCCTTAGGAATAATTACTTCAAATAGCTTATTCAGTCTTCTCCTGGGTTATGAGTCTCTTTTCTTTTTAAAACAGATGTGCAAAGAGTTGTATGCCAGCAAACAGGGAAATCTATCAGAAATGGATAGATTCCTGGACACATGCAACCTACCTAAATTGAACCAGGAAGACATCGAAAACCTAAACAGACCCATAACTGAGACAGAAATTGAAACAGTAATAAAGGCCCTCCCAACAAAGAAAAGCCCAGGACCAGATGGATTCACTGCTGAATTCTACCAGACATTTAAAGAAGAACTAACTCCAATTCTTCTCAAACTATTCAGAACAATCAAAAAAGAGGGAATCCTTCCAAATTCTTTCTATGAAGCCAGCATCACCTTAATCCCTAAGCTGGAAAATGAGGCAGCATTGAAAGAAAATGACAGACCGATATCCCTGATGAACATAGACACAAAAATCCTCAATAAAATTCTGGCCAATAGAATGCAACAACACATCAGAAAGATCATCCACCCAGATCAAGTGGGATTTATCCCTGGTATGCAGGGATGGTTCAATGTGCGCAAAACAATCAATGTGATACACCACATTAACAGACTGCAGAAGAAAAACCATATGATTACCTCAATAGATGCAGAGAAAGCATTCGATAAAATACAACACCCTTTCATGATGAAAACTCTAAGCAAACTGGGTATGGAAGGAACATTCCTCAATACAATCAAAGCAATTTATGAAAAACCCACAGCCAACATCCTATTGAATGGGGAAAAGTTGGAAGCATTTCCACTGAGATCTGGTACCAGACAGGGATGCCCACTCTCACCACTGCTATTTAACATAGTTCTGGAAGTTTTAGCCAGAGCCATCAGGCAAGAAAAAGAAATTAAAGGGATACGAATTGGGAAGGAAGAAGTCAAAATATCCCTCTTTGCAGATAATATGATTCTTTCCTTAGGGGATCCAAAGAACTCTCCTAAGAGACTATTGGAACTCATAGAAGAGTTTGGCAAAGTAGCAGGATATAAAATCAGTGCACAAAAATCAACAGCCTTTGTATACACAGGCAAGCCACGGCTTAGAAAGAACTGCTAAGATTAATTCCATTCACAATAGCCACAAAAACAATCAAATACCTTGGAATAAACTTAACCAAGGATGTTAAAGATCTCTATGATGATAATTACAAAATCTTAAAGAAATAGAAGAGGATACCAAAAAATGGAAAACTCTTCCATGCTCATGGATTGGAAGAATCAACATCATCAAAATGTCCATTCTCCCAAAAGCAATTTATACATTCAATGCGATACCAATCAAAATACCAAAGACATTCTTCTCAGATCTAGAAAAATGATGCTGAAATTCATATGGAGATGCAGGAGACCTCGAATAGCTAAAGCAATCTTGTACAACAAAAACAAAGCTGGGGGCATCACAATACCAGATTTCAGGACATACTACAGGGCAGTTGTAATCAAAACAGCATGGTACTGGTAAAGAAACAGATGGATAGACCAATGGAACAGAATTGAAACACCAGAAATCAACCCAAACATCTACAGCCAACTTATATTTGATCAAGGATCTAAAACCAATTCCTGGAGCAAGGACAGTCTATTCAACAAATGGTGCTGGAAAACTGGATTTCCACATGCAGAAGCATGAAGCAAGACCACTACCTTTCACCTTACACAAAAATCCACTCAACATGGATTAAAGAACTAAATCTATGACCCAACACCATGAAATTATTAGAGAAATCAGAGAAACCCTGCAAAATATTGGCACCGGCAAAGACTTCTTAGAAAAGACCCTGGAAGCATAGGCAGTCAAAGCCAAAATTAACAATTGGGATTGCATCAAATTGAGAAGTTTCTGTACTTCAAAAGAAACAGTCAGGAAAGTGAAGAGGCAACCGACAGAATGGGAAAAAATATTTGCAAACTATGCTACAGATAAAGGATTAATAAACAGAATCTACAAAGAGATCAAGAAACTCCACAACAACAAATCAAACAACCCATTTAAGAGATGGGCCAAGGACCTCAATAGACATTTTTCAAAAGAGGAAATCCAAATGGCCAACAGGCACATGAAAAAATGTTCAGGATCACTAGCAATCAGGGAAATGCAAATCAAAACCACAATGAGGTTTCACCTCACTCCAGTTAGAATGGCTTACATTCAGAAATCTACCAACAACAGATGCTGGTGAGGATGTGGGGAAAAAGGGACACTAACCCACTGTTGGTGGGAATGCAAACTGGTAAGGCCATTATGGAAGTCAGTCTGGAGATTCCTCAGAAAACTGAATATAGCCCTACCACATAACCCAGCCATCCCACTCCTTGGAATTTACCGAAAGGAAATTAAATTGGCAAACAAAAAAGCTGTCTGCACCTTAATGTGTATTGCAGCACAATTCACAATAGCTACGACCTGGAATCAACCTAAATGCCCATCAACAGAAGACTGGATAAAGAAATTATGGGACATGTACTCTATAGAATACTATACAGCAGTCAAAAACAATGAAACCCGGTCATTTGCAACAAAATGGAGGAATCTGGAAAACATCATGCTGAGTGAAATAAGCCAGTCCCAAAGGGACAAATATCATATGTTCTCCTTGATCGGTGATAACTAACCGAGCACCAAGGGGGAAACTTGTTGAAGTGAAATGGACACTATGAGAAACAGTGACTTGGTCAGCCCTTGCCCAGACTGTTGATGAACAACTTAATACTTTATCCCTTTTAGTATTTTTTTCTTCTACTTAATACTATTGGTTGAACTTTGTAATTAACATGCAATTATTCTTAAGTGTTTAAATTTAACTGAAAAGTGATCTCTGTTAAATATAAGAGTGGGAATAAAAGAGGGAGGAGATGAGATGTACAATCTGGGACATGCTCAAGCTGACTTGCCCCAAATGGTAGAGTTAGAAACGTGCCAGGGGATTCCAATACAATCCCATCAAGGTGGCATGTACCAATGCCATCTCACTAGTCCAAGTGATCAGTTTCAGTTCACAATTGATCATAATGAAAGGACTAAGAGTCAAAGGGATCACATAAAAAAGACTAGTGTTTGCTAATAACATCTGATAGAATTAAGAAGGAGAGAATGATCCAACATGGGAAGCAGGATACACAGCAGAC